CGCTGATAGAAGTACCTGGCTAGCTACTAGACTCCCTGGCAAGTCCCATCCAGGCACCCCCAGTTGGTGTGCGTGCGGGCAACGGACCCCCCTCCCCTCCCACCACCACTTCGATTAACATTACATAAAACCCTCCCAGTCTTCCTTTTCCTTTACACATACCCAACCTGTCATCGACCTTCACCTTATCTCTGCCCTTCCCAGAATCACTCGACAATTTGTCCTTGACACACAAGGTCTGGGGAACCGCTTTGATCCTCTCCGTACCTTATCGCCGGGACTCGACCAGCAACCGGTTCCAGACTGTCGGATCCCCCAGTCCCCCCCAACCCAGGGCAGTTCCCTAGATGACGCACTGATTGGCGCCGATTCAGATTGCCATCCCTGGTCCCGAAACGAACTCCCCCGGACAGTGCCCTTTTCGGGCATTTTTGGATTCTGTCAAGCGCAAAACAACGCCTGTCCAACGCCGTCGTGCCTTGTCATCCCAACTCGAAAAGAAGCTTTTTTCAGCCTGCAGCACAACTACCGCCCTACCTGCACCACACTGCCGGTGCCCCACACAAACAAGACATCTGATCTGTCTTGGGTGCCACGGCTGCAGCTGTACGCTGTGGTAGCTACCTACCTTAGGTATTTTGCCGACGGCACTTGGCCCCGTGCTTTACCACAGGAAACCTTCCACGAGAAAGGCAGAAGAGGCGTTGCCGCCGCACGGCAATTATTTCTGTCCCGTCAGCGAGGAGGATATGGCAGACAACATGTCCGTCGATAAGCACGATCCGACCAAGGAGGAGAGCGAAGATTCCATGGACTCAAGTCCAGAGGGAGAGGCTCCCCCTACTAGTACCCCATTAGAAAATCAACAACCAAAGCGAAAAGGGGGTCGCAAGCCAGTACGTCCTCCGATTAACCGTTTCTGGCAAACAAGACCCGCGATTGTGTTCCAACTAACCTGCCTTGCAGATATATGCAACATCGGAGGAAAGAAAGCAAAGGAACCGTCAGGCTCAAGCAGCCTTTCGAGAACGTCGGACAGAGTACATCAAACAGCTCGAGGAGGCTATTCGCACCCACGAGCAGAATTTGGCCAACCTCCAGACTGCTCATCGCCATGCGGCCGACGAGTGCTTGATGCTTCGGTACAAAAACTCGCTGTTGGAACGTATTCTCCTTGAGAAAGGTATTGACGTTCAAGCTGAGCTCCGCGCCAAGACTGGCAGTCCAACTCTGGGTCCAACTCATATGCCACAGAACATGGTGCAACCTCCACCGATTCAACGGGCTCTCCTAAACAGACACCACGCCCGCCGATCCAATTCGAGCATTGCGCCAAAGCTCGAACCCGGCGTTCTGTCCCCGCTCCCACCCCCTATGCATGCTCACCCATCAGCAGCCTCACCCAAGAATCGACCGACGCCGTCCTCACATTCGGCTTCACCAACAGCAACAACCTCGTTCGGGTCGCAACACGGTACTTCACCCGCCAGCTCCGACCACCAGATGGGCGGTTCGATCCGACCTCCGATTCCTCCTCCGGCAGGGATGAAAGCCCCACCGCCTCCCCAGCACGTCGGTGGCATGGCTGGCGTAGCGGCGCAACGGCAGATGCAAATGCAAAGTCTCCAGCAGCAGCAACAGAGCCACGTGAGAGGAAGTGTCGGTGGAACAGCGCCGACGTTCTACGCATCTTCTTTCCAAAATCATTATGAGCAACTCGGCAAGCTTTCCCGTTTTCTTTCCCCCTCCTCCCCCCCTTTCGTGGAACTTTGCCCGTCCTAGTGTTGATCCGTAAGTACAGAACAGGAGTACGAAGCCGCACCTGACATGATGGAAGATCCCGGTGATCCTCCCGACACCCCGAGCGGGCCCGGCCCCTACCCTGGCGCCCAATATTCCGGCGAACCGCAACCGATGTCGCTATCGTCGCCCGTAACGACAGGAACACCCGGGAGCCAGCAGATGGCAGGCCAATCCCCGATGGATGGTATCGCCAACACGCAACATGCCGCGTATCCGTCAATGACGCAGCTGCTCGATCCCAGCTACGAGTTCGACCCCTTTGGCTTGAGCGCAAGCATGGCTTTTCCGGCGCAGTTTTCGTTCGATACGAGCAACATGCGTTGAGCGATTCACGGCTGTTCTGCCCGAGGTCGAGGCAGCTGGAGCGGTCACTTCCCTGTCGTTGGTCGAGGTTCGCTAGCAGGGGAAAGGGGTGGTTAGGCACCATGGTGCGGTTGTCATCGTTACCTTTAAATCACCAAGATTGTTGACATTACAGTCACAGCTTGCCGGTATTGGACTGTACATGTCAACGCCTACCTTCCTCTGCTGTGTTTCTCTTGATCAAAGACTATGGAGGGGAGCAAGAATTGGAATCGACACTCCAATGCCCATCTGTTCTCGACCGGAGAGACGCACCTCGCAAAGCAGCTGTCTGGGATGTTTAGTCGGAACGAGTTCCAGTGGCAAGCTGCACTGGTAGATAGCTGCAGAGGAAGGAAGATCATTAAGCAACAACGACAAGCATAGCCTACGGAATAGTTTGGTTTTTAATAAGAAATAATAAGGAGGAGGAGGAGCAATAAGAAAGGAGACCTGGACCATTTTTTCAGCAACAAAATTTCCAAAATCGGCACGGCGCGCGGGATGGCGGAAATCAACTTATTAAGATACCCCGGAAAGCATTTGCATTGGGCGCGCGCACGGCAGGACAGCAACAGCAACAAGCAACAAGCATACAGAGGCTCAATTTCCGCATCATCTGCTGTTTGTCGTCTCATCTCTTCTCGCCACAGCGTTCGGAATCTCTTCCTAGAGAGTATCGCCGCACTTCCGTTTTTCAACAACATTAGTCTTTGGGCAGCGCAACTTCAAAAGCTTTTGTTTATTTTTTAGAAAAGAAGATGATATACCCAATGGTCTGGAGGTGGTGGCTTTGCCTTGCTTTTTGGTTTTTTTGGATTGTTTGGATTGGGGACATTGGTTTTTGTACAACATCTTGCTGGGACGACACCAGCAACAAAAGTTTTGCTCTTTCTAAATGGCACGCCGGTCTGTTTGGCACAATCTTGGTGGATTTCGACCGGACAACCACGCCATCACGCGCTGCGGCGTCGCCTTTACACGCATACGGCCCCCAAAGACGGCGACGGAGTGGAGGGAAGGGGTGTATCAACTCGTCACCGCGTCACCGCGTCACCGCCACGACTGCCAGCCAGCCAGCCAGTCAGTCAGCACACCCACGTCAGCAGTGAGTTGTGAACATACAGTTTGTTGTATATGGCGTAGCAACTTCGACATCAACCGTCGGTATCTAGCCAACGAGAGCTACCTGTCTGTCCGCTGCTGGACTCTGTCACTTCTCGACGGATCAGGGTGGCAACGGTTGGCTGGCCGACGGGCAGCGCATGGGAGGAAGAAGAAAATATGAAAATTCCCCTTCTTTCCCTCTTTTCCTTCTACATGTTTGTTTTCCTAAACATATCGGGCTTTTCCTTATTACTACGTGAGATGATAGTCGTCATGTGTGTATGTGTGTGCACGTTGAACCACCTGTCCAACCAGCCCTTTATACTCATCTACTACTTTCCACTATTATCTCTTTTTCCGGCCGGTAGGCATTTCCAGTTGTAGCGGAGCTCTTATCTCTCCTTGTTTCTTCCATCTAAGTACCGGTAATGATTAACGCTGCTGATGAAGATGATGTGGTGGCTTGTCTCTTTCTCTATTTTCTCGGTGATCTTTCGATTGGTCCCAATCATCCCTTCTTCCTTTCTTCTTCTAGCATCATCTCGAATTCAAACTTGGACTTTTCTTGTTTCATATTCTTACCCCTTCTCTTGCTCCTGTTTTCCTTTCATTTTCGTCTTGGGGGTTTGTTTTGTATGCATTTCTCTTTAGTTCTTTTGGACCAAGTAGGAGAAAGAGGAGGGAGGTCATGATGTATGGTGTGTTGTTGATGAGTCTGGCGGAGGAGGATATGAAGGCACGGTAGGTAAGATTGTGTTAGGAAAAGGTAGGTGGATAGGTCTCATTGACGTTGATTGGCGGTATCTAATGGGTACACATATCTATATAGTTAACTAATGATATACATTTAGATATTTCCTGGACTGACTGGCTTAAGCATGTGTATACAAACAGCATGATGATAGTGAAAGTTGGTGAGAGGCAGTCTAACGTGTTACAAACTCATCCTCGCCCCAAGTATTCCATAGCCCAGACTAGCAAATCTATCACTTCACTTCAGGACTCGTACGTAATAGCGTCGGAAAACGACACCCCACGAACACATATACATAGAGAGAGAGAAAGGTCAGACACGGCCCGGGGCCAGAGCCGCCGTCGTCCAGTACCGAAGTTAACCGTGAGTACCGACTCCGTCCTCTCGCATCCCGGGCCGCCGCTCAAGGGAGGAAAGAAGAAGCCAATAAGACAAGCCCACTTAGGTAATAAAGGGGTAATTCAGGGCGGACAATAACGAGAGCAAAATGCTCTTCCAACCCAAGTTCTTCTGATAGCTGAGGTAATTAGGTAATTATCCTATTCTTGAACTTTCAACTCATTGCATCACATTTTCTTGCATTGTTTGGCAGGTAGGTAGGTACTTGAAGAAGATGTCTCAGCAAAACGGCCAACCCAGCCGGTTTGGAGGAGCACCGGCCGACCAGCTCTTTGTTTGCTTTTGTCACACTAGGTACCTTGCCTACGGTACTCTCATTCAAGCTCAACTATCACCATACCATGCAATTTGTCGTTTATATATTACATATTCATACATACCCGCTATTCTTAACATGTCAGGAGTCATCTTGTCAACCCCATCCATCATAAACGGACGGACCCTCTTTCGTTTCTCCACTACCTTACCTATACGCACAGATGAAAAGCTCCACCTACATAGATCCAGACTCGATCGAAGTGGAGAGAGAGAAAAAGGAAGGAAAAAAGGTACAGGAGGAGAGGATCGTTGGAAATCCTCTCTTGTCTGATTATCAGGGGCCACCCGGGGATTGAACCCGGGACCTCTCGCAGGAAATTGCTCAGGTTGTTTAACGGTCCTAACGAACTGTCCCTAAGCGAGAATCATACCACTAGACCAGCGGCCCTTGTTTGTTCGATTTGTTGAGTTTTGAGGCAAGGTTTGGGTGGATTTGAAGGCATTCCTTACCAGTTCGCCGGGTACATAAGTGTGGGCACGAGAGTACCACCTGCATACCTTAGGTAAGGTTGAGAGGTAGTCAGAGCGTATGTCCGTCGTCTTGCTAGTACAGGTGTCTGTCTGGCTTTTGTAAGCGTGTAACGGTGTAAGTCCCCGGTGGGTGAGACATGATGTACCCTCGGGTAGGGAGACAGTTAGGTTGCGTGTAGCTCATAGTTACCTTTGATATCATAGAGGGTGATGTAAGCACAGGGGTAAAAGGGATGGTAATTACTTCGTTCTTCTTGTCTACTTAATAACCCCCGGGACAAAACTGAAGATGTAGTAGTAATCGTGTTATTCTGTTGTGCTGTTTACATTAATTAGATAGTGGGAAGAAGGACAGTCAAAAGGGGGTGATTATCAAAAATGAAGATAAAAACATACAACACCAGGGATTCGCTGGTCGTCACCGACCAACTACTGGTCTGGCGGTCACTGGTTTATCTAGGGAGAGCGGACGGGATCCCAAGTTCTCCAGTACCTATGGTCGTATGTATTTGTGTCGAGAGCGAAAGGGGTATAAGTAGGTTGGTGTAGATGAGGCGGGTTATTAGGGTGAAGTTGAGCAGGTTGGGATGACGGGGCAACGTCAATTACAGCACGGCCTACCAATCATGTCCTGGAACATCTAGGCCGGGGCACATGATATTACCGGTACATGTTTATGTTGTAAGGAGAACGTTCAAGTGACGAGATGCTTCGGGGCTTCTATGATGCAAGTGTCACCTCATGGAGACGCGGTGTCTCCTACCGGGGGCAATCAAAACAACCTATACTTCCAGGTATTAAAGTACCTATCTACCTTGATGCAAGCTATGATAAAATGAATGATATCCCTCAGTCGTCCCTCAGTCGTGAACAGATATTCATGCCAGTGAGAAAGATGAAGTGTGTACTCCTGTAAGGTAGTTTACTGAACTCTCTTGCGTTACTCGATTTCTGTAAATAATTTTTTTAATTGCTAGCTAGCAGTCGGGGAGTCATTCCTACAATGATTCATGCCAAATAAATTGCCAGTCTTTGTGAATGTCAGCGTTGATGTTGATTGTTGATATCGGCTGATGTCTGTTTGCTGTTTGTCCCGACAACGTCAAGCTGACCGGCACACAAGAAGCCCTAAACAAGGAATAACAGCAACGCACTTGAATTTCTGCGAAAATAGCTAAAACATGGGGTTCGCCGAGACGTGGCTGGCGAGTGGTGTTTGTCTGTTTGACCCAGAAAGTGGGGCGCCAGGGTACACAGGTGGTCCGTGCAGAACCTGCCCAGAGACCGGAATTGGCACAATTGGCACTGGGGGAGCAAGGGCAGCTGGCAACAGGGCAGGCACAGGGCCTGTGCTTCACTAAGTTGGTGCTAGCCAAAATCGACAAAATCTTTCCCGGCCTTGTCACGACACAAAGCCGACACGACACGACACCTCTCACCGTCGTCGTAACGAACCCAGCGCATTTCACCGGGGCAGGTCCTGCTAAAAGCGCGAGCTTTCATCCATCGAATTGCTCACCCTCCTCACCGGAGCTTTTGGCGCGCCGACAACCTACGCCTTGAAGGGCGATAAAGCACGGCGACAAGATGTCGGTCGCCTCAAAGGTACGGAAGATCCATTGCCATTGGGAGAATCAATCAACTGACTCGACAATTTTTTGAAACATATAGAACCTTTACGAGCTTCTCGGTTGGTCCACCTACCTTCCACCATACCTATCCATGGAGCCAACGACGCCAAACAAAAATTCGAATGTCGAAAAGGAATTGCACAACTGACACATATCGCAACCACAGGTAACGATGACCCGGACTCGGACGTTCCCTCGGGCCCCGTGAAGACCGTCGACAAGACATCTACCCATACCACGAAGCGCAACACCGATGGCCTAGCTCCTGCCAAGGCTCCTGTCACCACCGGCGGCAGCCGTCGTGGTGGTGCGAGCGGTAACGAGGCCGGTACGTCACCCACCAGACCTTGCCTTTGAATCATTTTGCTGACAAGTCTTTTGTCGTGACAGCCTTCCGCGATCGCAACGCTGGCAGCGACCGCAACCGCAGCAAGCCCGCCGATGAGGCTCCCCGTGGCGGTGCCCGGGGTGGTCGTGATGCTCGTGGCCGTGGAGGTGAGCTATGCCAGACCGCCATCAACCTCACCATCTTCAAATACTGATCATGACCTCACAGGTCGCGGTGCTAGACACTCTCGACAGGAAGGTGAACGCCACTCCAGATCAGTTCCCGGGTAAGCCTTTTCACCGCTCTTCGCAGTGTCTTCCAAAGCAGAACACGACCTTACAATGTCTCTAGTGGCGGATCCGAGAAGCAGGCTGCCCAGTCATGGGGCGCCACCGAGGGCAATGCCGAGCTGAAGGACGAGCAGGCCGGCGAAGAGATCGCCCAGACCGAGCAGAAGGAGGCCGTCGCCGAAGATGCCGCCGCTGAGGTCCCCGAGGAGGAAGAGGACAAGCACATCTCCTACGCCGACTACGTCGCCCAGCAGGCCGAGAAGAAGGCCGCTCTCGAGGCCGAGGCTGCCCTTCGCCTGCGCCAGGCCAACGAGGGCATCAAGGAGAACAAGAAGTGGGCCAACGCCAAGCCCCTCGTCAAGGAGGAGGATGAGGACTACTTCGCCGGCACCGGCGGCAAGGCCAAGCGCGAGAGGGAGCGCAAGACCAAGCAGGTCGTCGAGATCGACCAGCGCTATGTTGAGCCCGAGCGCACCCGGGGCGGCGACCGTGGCGACCGTGGCGGCCGTGGCGGTGGTGGACGCGGACGTGGCGACGGTGCCCGTGGCGGCGGCCGTGGCCGTGGCGCTCCTCGCGGCGAGTTCCGTGGTGGAAACCGCGGACGTGGCGGCGCCGAGGGCGGCGCCCCCGCTGCTCGCTCCGCCGTCAACCCCAACGACGAGTCGGCCTTCCCCAGCCTGGGTAAATAAGCTTTACCATGATGGAATCATGGAACAGAAGGAATAGGCGGCCGCAACAATGATTACGTTTTTCCTCTCTCTTCGATTTGATTAGCTTTGGTTTGGTGGTTTTCAGATGGGGCAATACTTCTTTTGTTCTCTCGTGCAACTACTACGGGCGGCTGGCAATTTTACAAAGATAGGGAGGTGGATGGACTAGGTGCAGGCAGGTGGGAAAACAAAACAAAAAAGTTAGCCAGCATGCGGTCTCGGTGTTCTTTGGGTTGCATATCACGCACTTCTCGGTGGCACCAATATCTTGACCAATAGGGGCATACCTATCTTGTTTGGCGACCCGCTATTCCGGTTCGTTCTTGTGAGTGGTGTGTGTGGATGGAGGAAGAAGAGAATGAAGAGCAAAGGGAAAGAAAAGGGGGGAATACATACTTTTTCATCTGGACTTTTTTCCGAATTGAGATTTCTTTACTATTACTCGTCATCATTGTCTTGACTGTGTTGACACTGAATACCAGCGGGCAGAAACTCTGTGTGATAATGATCCCTGGGTACCTTAGCTATCCATCTCGCTGTCATTCTCTATATGACCCTAGCCGGCTGTCTTCCTTCCCTCACTGTTGATTTAATACTGCCAAGTCTGGTTTCCCTGCCTTCTTCCAGACCCCCTTTCTGTCTGCCTGCCCAGGTTACAAGTGCTCTCTCAGACCAGCCCGGGCAGTTTCGTACGTTGCAATCTGAGCAAGGGACAGAATGCATACGTACCTAGATATCAAGCTGACGGCGAGAATGTCTCGACCATATATAGATTCCCCCAATGGTAGTTCAGGAGATATATCCTGCAAAGGCTGGCCACCACAGGACCACAAACCTAGGTACCTAAAGAGATGTCATGAATGTCAGACGGAGCAACCTGGAAAGTGAGAAAACCCCATGTATTCATCATTGATTGCTTTTAGTAATCTTAGTATACCCACCGACCATGGAAGCTCATCAAATCATCACCGCCAAACAGGCGGTACGTACGCTGTAGCTACCTACAACTCACCAGTCAACCTCAACGACCCTCTCCTCCTCCTCCGCGCAGCCGCAGCCCTGCCGACATCAATCGCAACGCTCGCAAGCAACAACACCCCGTTGAACGCAGCCATGAGGTAAAACGGCGCGCCCGTTGACCACGTATCGAACAGATACCCTCCCAGCTTCGTCAACAACAGAATCGCCGCGCCACCACACCACGAATACACGCCGGCGACCGAGCCCTTGAGCCTGACCCTCGACACAGTATCTTCAGGAAGCACCGTACGATTCTCCAGCAGCGGCGCCGTCTCGTTGGGCTCGTCGACCGCCTCTACGAGCGTCTCCTGGTCACCGTCAGGGGTCGTCAGCACATTCACAATGTCCACCTTCAAGACACCTCGCCCCAGCGACCCCAAGCTGCACACAATCGCGCCAATCTGGCTGACCCCTATCAGGGCGGCAAAGAAAAACACCACCGGACCGCCTCCGCGCCCGTTGACGTCCTTGTACTCGGGACTGTCCAGCTGCGGGAACGCGATGTACCCAACCATCCCGAGCGTGGTGGCCACGATGATCGGATAATTCACCCCGCCGGCTCGACTAGACAGGTACCCGAACAGCGGCGCACAAATAAGCCCCACGAGCTGTGCGACGCCCGTCAAGATGGACGCAAGCACATACGCCTGGCGACACTCCTTCTTGAGCTCGGGGGACGGGTCGTTGGGCGATCCGTGGCAGTAGCCGTTCCTGATGAAGAAGGCGTTGACAAACAGCGGCATGAACAGCGAGATCGCCACGGTCGAGGCGCGCGCGACGAACCCCCCCAAATAGCCGAGCGCAATCTCCGAGTCGGTGAAGCCCAGCCAGACCGAGTCCTTGAGCAGATGCCAGTAGGGGAGGACATCCTTCCGACCTTCGGCGGCCGAACCATCGAGGTTTGCGCCTCGTAGGCCAAACAGCATGCGCCAACCTTT